CACCACCCTCCACTTTGAGCACCAAGAAATATGAAAAGAAAACATGTAAAAAAAGCCTTTTTCTTGATGCCCATTGATTTTTTTCATGCCACTTTTCTTTTTCTGAAAAGTGCAGAAACCACAGTGGATGCCATCATCACCACCAGCACACATGCAAATGCATATTGTGGTGTATGTGAGGTGCTGGTATGATTTGGCATCACACTCAACATTGCCATGTCAGCCCTGCCCTGCTTGTGTATTCTCTCTGGTTTTGGTGCAGCCCATGCACATCCATCAGCCTACTTTGTTCATGGTCTACTGCAGTAGCAAAGCATCATTCATGCTTGTGGCCACAACACAACAAAACAGACCATGCAACAACAACACTCAGCAACAAAGCCCAAATCTGCACAGCAGCAAGACTTGTCAGCACTGCCTCCCCATGACATGACATAGTGACTTGGCAGTGCAGCTGTGACCACAGAGGCAAGACCCAATAGCAAAACCCACTGGTGAGTCCAACTGTTGTGTGTGTGGTGGTGTGGAGAGGAGACTATGCCACCTCAAGTAGATATGCTGCACTGACCATGCCACCTCCAGCATAAGCCAAACAGGCAGTGTGGCTACACTGACCAGGCGGTGATGAATACATAATGTGTCTTGCTGGAATGCTATTGCCAAAGTGGCCAATCACAAACCCAACTTGACTTGGTGTGACAAACTTGGCTTGACATAAACCTGGCTTGATACACAACTTCAGTGTATTACAAACTTGTGGCTATGTGCAATCTTGACTTGACACAAACTGACCCAACTTGGGCTAATGCAAACTTGGGCCAACACGAATTGTTTTGCTTTTGATGACAATGGAAATGCAAAGACAATACCACAGTGGGTGTGGTGAGCACAAGCAGTGTGTGTATGCTGACTTCATCACGATAGCATGGGTGTAAGCAAGTGTGCATGTGCTTTGTGAGTATGCTAGCCTTGTGTGGCAGAATAGGCAACCTTGCTTTACAGGCATGCTGGCTCTGCTGTGGCAGCATTGATGCCTGCAAGTGTGGCAAGTATGCTGACTTGGTTGTGGGAGGAGGGGGGAGGTAGATGAGTGCCTTGAGTATGCTGGCCTCATCACAGTGTGATTGTTGTGAGTATGTTATCTAAGTGGGCACATGATGAGCAAACCACTGGTGCAGGATGGGTATGCTTGGTTTTGGTGAGACACAAATTTAACTAGACGTGCAAATTTGATGCAGTGTTTTGACATGCCACTGACTTGGCAAAGCTGATGATGCAGTGCAGGCATGCCAGCTGTGCTGACTTAAAGGTGATGTGGCGGCGCAAGCATGTTGGCCTTGTACATGTGAGTGTGAGTGCTTGTGTGATGAATATGCATCGCTGGGCATACCACATCAAATGGAAACTCCAGCTGGGCGTGAGGTTGATGTGATGTACTGAGTTGGTGAAGTGATGCAAACTTGACTTGCCTTGCTGTCTGCACCATGCAAATTAAAACTTTGGTTCAGCACAAAACTTGGTGTGACAACACAAACCTTAGCTAGACACAAACTCAGGCCAATGAGACAACTTTGGTGTAATGATGTAAGTGTGAACAGTTGGCTTATCTCACTGTGTGATGCAAAACTTGGTCTGACACAATCTTGGCTTGACACAAGCCTTGGGTGTGTGGATGACAGTGTTTGGATTTCTTCCACCACAGGCCACATGCCACACAACATGCATGAGCCTGCGCCCGTCATCATCATGAATGATAGTGCCATCATGTGTGTCACATTTGCCATTGTCGCTCTCCCAGCCAAGTATGCACTGAACGCCACCATCAGCTGATTGCGCCAAAACAGGGTGGCCAAGCTGTGATGAAACAAACCCACACTCATGTCCATGTGATGAAAGAGTATCAACCAACCAAACATTGAGTGACTATGAGAATGATTGGTGTGTCTTGATATGGAACCAACCAAAGAGACAATGGCAGCCCAGGCCATGGCCCAGCTCGCCATTCAATGAACACAAGCCCACATGATCACTTGTATAGTGCATGCACCACTGATATGAAGATATTTGCCTATGTATGCTTCAGTGATGTGCATAAAAAACAACCCCCACCACCCATCCCTTGCCACAGTTCTTGTTGTACTTGGACTGATTGAAATTGTTGAAGGGCATATCCTTGAGTGTATGTCTGGCTTCCCTGTTGAGCAGGACCCTGAAGTGCTTGTTGATGATGGTTGACTTGGCCTCAGTCTTGATCTTGATGTTGTGTTTGATCTTCCATTCATGGTTCTTCCGCCTGCTTGTTTGTGCATCAGTGTTGGCAGTGGTGTGCTTGTTTCTGCTGCAATGTCAGATGTTATTGTGTTTGACGCTGCAATGTTGGATGCTGATGATTGCTATTGGTGGAGGTGCATGTGCTCCAAGGAATGCTTGTTGTTGGTGCTGCTGCTGCTGATGTTGTTGTACGCCTGATTGCCTATGCTTGAAGACACTTGCTGCTAATACTGTTGGTGTTGGAGACACCTGCTGCCTGTGTTGGCATGTTCTCTGTTGGCACCATGTTCAATGCTGGTGATACCAAGGTAAACGATATTGGTGCTAGCGCTGTCAGTGTTGGCATGGCTGATGTTGGAGGAGTGTGATGTTGGTATGTTTGTTGCTGGTGATGTCGAATTTAGGGATGTGCGTTTGCGCTGGTGCTGAGGATACTAGAGATGTTGGTGTTGCGATTATGCTGGGGCTGTCTGTGTTGGTGCATTTGCTGCAAAGATGTTTGGTGTGAGTGGTGTGCTGCTGTCATGTTTGATGCCAGAGATGTTGTTGCTGTTGATGCTGTCACTGTAGTTGTAGCTGCCAATGTTGGTTGCTGGTGTGCTTGGTGCTGGAGGCACTTGTTATTGGTGGCGCTTGCTGCTGACTCTGTTGGTACTAAAGACGCTTGCCGCTGGTGATGCTTGTTGCTGGTGCCATGGTTGATGCCAGAGATGCTTGGTGCTAGTATGTTTAGTATGCTACAGTGTTGCTGGTGAGTTGGCTGCTGGCTCAATTGATGCTGGAGACTCCTAATGCTGGTGTGCCAGCTGCTAGCACAGTCAAACCTAGAGGCATGCAATGCTGGCTGCTGGTGTTCTTGGTGGCAATGCTTGTTGGTGGCGCAATAGTTTGATAATATATTCGCTGCACAGAATTGGGTGGCTATGCAGTCATTGACACTGCCTGTGGTCAACAACCCTGCCTATGCCAATGTATGTGAGTGCACTACGTCAGCTACAGCAGCGGTGACGATGGAAGAGCATTGACATTTGCACTGGCAGGCGTTGGGTTGGTTGCAATCATGTGCACATGTCAATGCTGTGCGCACACAGTTGCACAATGAAATGGTGGCATATGCAAGGCACAGTGATGTGCACACAGTAGCAGCAGCCAACAACGGCGGCAGGGTGGGAGAGAAAATAATGCACACACACACACAGGACACAAGTGTGAGTGTGGTGTTGGCATGGCTCAAGAAGAAAGGACCTGAGGAGCATGCATTGGCACTGGCATGAGGAGTGAGAGGTGAGGGATGGACAGTGTTGCCATCATGCTTATGAATGTTGATGTTGTGCCATGCAAGGCTTGTCATCAGAGGCAAGGGCAAAAACACAGCCACATTTTTGTTCTCATGTTTGGGTTTCCATACAAGGCACATGCAAAACACAACCATGGCCAAAAGTTGCCTAAGCCATCATCTTTTCATGCAGACCTCAATGTTGGGGGGCAACAACAAGGCTGACAGTGGCTAGAGCAACAAAGACTATGAAGACAAGAACTACACCCACACAGGGTGATCAGCATGCTTGCAACTGGCATCAACATATTGTGTTCACATCCATACAGCAAGCATCCACACAAAAGCCTATGCAGCTGGAGCCATCACAAGAGCCTGTACATCTTGCGCCCACACAAGCGCATACACAGATAGAGTCAGCATGAGAGCTTGGTTGAGCCACACACCTCACATTAAGTGATGGGGGTGAGCTGTCAGCGCCAACCTCATCTTGGGCATCAGTGCTTATTCTTGGCAGTACTCTCTGCCCAAAACCAAAACCAAGACTGGGACAACAAAGACCAGGCGGAGTGGGTGCCAACATCAAAGCTAACACAGATCAACACCAACCAACAATGACAACTACAACAACAAGAATGTGGGAGTCCACACTGACACAAGCACGCAGCCCAGGACACTGCTCGCCACCACACATGATCCAACAGTAGGCACTGGTCACAGGTAGTGGTGACAGTGATGCAAATGCAATTGCTGCAGCTGATGCTGCGTGTATGTGCATGCAACAATAACATCTGCTATTGTCATGTGCAACACTCATGCATGTATGCATGCATACCAGAGCATGCACATGATGATGGCAGCCACTGTTGCCATGGGCAAATTTTTTGCGTGTGAGTGTGTGAGAGAGCTGAGGGTGGCGGTGGAGGTAGCAAGACAGGGTGTGTGCCATGGGCGGTGTCACAGCTGCTTGTGTCAATGGTAATGATGCCATCAGTGCTGGGTGGTGTGACATGAGAGCCTCACCAACAGCTGCAAGACAACAGACATCTATATGTTCTTCCTCAAGGAGAAAAACCCACTTTTATGCATGGGGACCATATTGCACCTGAGTGCATGTGTGTCCTCCTGGAGTGCAGCAACGCCATGGCACCAGAGGAGGTGGGCATTCTCTGGACAGTGTCCCTGCATGGGAATGTGCAACATGCAGAAGCCCACCAGTTGTGTGTTCTATGTGTGCAAGAGGGGCGTCTGCATACACATTGTCCATGAGATGATTGAGTGCAACATCCATCAAGTGCACCAAGGTGGGCACGGTTTTGTATGGGCAGGCCTTCCGGTGTCCAGGTGTGCTAAGCACTGTAGCAAGAGGTTCAGTGTGTGTAAGTCTAGGTGCTACAGCTCGGCTGAGTGCCAGAGGCACCTCTGACCCTTGCACAAGAAGCACTACAGGTGGCTAGTTGAGAAGGGGATGGAGAACCAGTGATTTGAGATGAAGCTGGTGAGGGACGTCCAGGAGCTGCTGGATGTGGCCCTGTGATGTGTGATCAAAAATGATTTATTATGGCTGTGCTTTACTTGTGGGATGGCACATGTGTTGCTACAGTGTTACCTGCACAAGCAACAACATGTAAGATTCATGCAGAGGGTGTGATAATGGGCGCGTCCCAGGTCTGCCTGTTGCTGTTGTTGAATGCCACCCTCCACACCTTGAAACTCCTATTCCACTCCTTGGGCATGACTGCTGAGTTGAATGTGTTTTGAACAAACCTGTCATTGAGGTCCAGAGTGGGGAGGCCCATGTCACAGACCCCACTGAGGTGGGCACACAGCATGTAGCAGTCATCAAGCACTAGGATGACACACTTGCTATCATGTGAAATGAAAAGCTGTGTGAGCTTTTTTGTGTTCTTGAGGAAGCCAATGGCAGAGACAACTCTGTCAAAGGTGGTCCCTTCCTTGAAGTCACTTGATATGAAGATTTCTTGGCTGCTGTGGCCCAGGTGCAATGCAATGATCCTGTCAATGGTGGATGTGATGTTTGTGACCAAGGTCTTGCTGTGCCCACTGGTCTTCTTGCCCTCTGCCGCTGAGATATACTGAGGCATGGCCTGGATGGTGGCCCTTTTGTTCCATGTGCACTTGGTGGTGACGTTGTATTTCCGACCCTTGGGCAGAGACTGGAGCCATTTGAGGTCGATTTTTGTGGTGTAGCTTCTTTCCTCATCAATGGTCACTGCTGCCTTGACCCCTGAATGGTACTTGGCCAGCGCCTTGAACCAGGCGTCGGCGTTTGAGGCGTCAAAGTTGTATCCATGCTGGGAGAAGCAGACCATTGTTGTGTCTGAGGTGTGTTGGTGGTGTGGATGATTATAATACTTGCTAATGGGCGTTTTTCTTTCCTTTTATTTGTTCAATTATCCTGATTAGGATAATACTGTGATGTACACTTTTTACTAATGCAGTGGTGGCTCTAATCCAGATTGGAGAAGAAGTAGATGCCAATGATGGTTATGCTCCCCCTGAAGAGGATGACAACCAATGTGATGATGTAACCAAAGAAGTGGCAAGGGCGTGTGCACAAGGAACTCGCCGTTGATGAGGATGAGCTGCTGTGCAAAGCCTATCCACAGGCATGCAACAACCCACTGTGGTGGACGCCTCTGGGCATGTTAGTGGACTTGTCAGGGAAGTGCTTTGTCATCATCACCATCATCATTCCAAATCTGGCACAGAGAAGAAGGACAATGCAACAATGGAATGTCTGGCCAAAGAAACAAAACACCAAAAAGACGCTGGGAAGGGGGCATAAAAGGGAGAAAGCTGGATCAACACAACAGGACCGCTTCCAGGAATGGTTTGTGCCAGGAGGCGCCACTCATCGTTGGTCCCTCAGAGGTGAGACCCAAGAGGCATTGGGCAACAGCCAGTGCTGCCCTATTGTGATGGTCCCATGCCCTGACAAGGGTGTGTGCTGCCACAAGAGGCGCCAGGTGCGAGGGCATGCAGACTGAGGCGCCCAAATCTTGGCAGAGGACAGTGATGATGGCACGTGCAGTCAGGGCCTTGAGGTCGGTGCGTGACCGCATGCGTTGCAGCCTGGTGCATGCTGGCACAATGTGGTTGATCATTGTCACTGTGTCAGCTGTGGTCAAAAACTGAGTGTCAAAGCACTTGTTGGGTGGCAGCAGTGATGAGTCTAGCATGTCAATGATGGCATCAGGCAAATAATTTGTGCTGAGCCTGCACATGCCCAGGATGGCCTTGGTCTTTCTGGTGATGCACTGTTGCACCATGCATGCCCACATGATGATAGAGGCATGCAGGTCGTTGTCACTGCAGGTTGCAGCAGCCTCTGGGCTGTAGAGTACAAATGACATTGAAATTGTATAAAACTTGCAAAGGGACCAAAGCACCACCAATGTACAGAAGCCCTAAAGCCATGTGTGGGGCCAGCACATTGTGTGGGGGCAACAACCAGACCAAAACCAAAATCAACACCATTGACACATCTTGTGTGCAGTGAGTATGGGGTTGGCACACCAAGACCATCTACTTTCCTGTGTGGTGTAAATGAGTGCACAATTGAGTGATAGTATACAGCATGTGGCCATGAATGTGATAGCAAACTTGGCTTGCCTGAACCTGACCTGGCTTGGGATCCTGCATGAACTTGGTCCAGTGCAAACCTGGTCTGACACAAACCTGGCAGCTCACCCTGGTGACACAAACTTGACAGCAATGATGATGTGATGCTGTGGCAATGCTGATGCTGCACCAAGCACCTTGACCTTGCTGTGGTGGTGTAAGTGTGTGTGTACTGTGCTAGCCAACTCTTCTGTGGCAGTGTATGCCCGCTGGTAGGAGGCTTGCTGATGGGTGCCTGCCTGTGCTCACTGAAGCAGGCCTTGCCTGCAGTCTCTGCACTCACAGTCTACCCATTGCCTTTTATGGTCTCACAACCTCATGTCCACCATGTACTCATAATGTGTGTGCTGCTCAGGATGACACTGACACACTGGTTGTGCTGGAGGGCCAACAGCCCATCTACCACTTTGATGATAGCCATGGTGCAGTGTACAGAGTCCTTGGTGGCCAAGATACCCCAGAGTTTGACGCCCCAAGCAGATGGTATGAAGATGTCTTCTTCACCTGCCTTGGGAAGGCCCAATGCACATGGGCAAGCATGACAAGATCAGTTGCAAAGGTTAGTTGGCGCTGGCGTGGGCTCAATCAGTGTGCTGACCCCAAAAGACAGCCTCAAAAAGGCATGGACACTGCAAGGGCAGAAGAAAAATGCAACTAGCAAGAAGTGTTGTTGCAGTACCCTTGGCACAGGGAGGTGACATCATCTTTTATTTCTTGTGGGCCCACTGACCACTTGGGGGTGCACAATCCTACTGCATGTGCTTCTTTGTCTGCTTTTCCTTCCCCTTCTTCTTTCCCTTTTCTTTCTCTGTACCTTTCTCCTTGTCGTCCTCCATCTTGTCCTTGTCCTCATCCTCATCCTTGGCCTCTTTTTTCTTGGTTTCTGAATGAGGTGCACTCTGCACAGCAAGGTTCTTCTCCATTTGGGCCACCTTGGGCACAACAACATGCAGCGTCAGGCCACCAAAAGGAGTCATGTGTGTGATAGTGGTCAAAAAGAGGATGGTGTACCTTCACTACTCTGAGAGTGAAGTCACGCCACTGGAGGAACAGCTTGAGTCCCTCCTTGACCAAATCGGCCAGGGGCTGCAGGGAATTGAGTTTCCTTTCATACTCTGTGCAGAAGGAGTAAGGATACAAAGATAATGTTGAAATGGGAGGGCGAGTTGAATGAGAAGTGGTGGTCAAGAGGCATGCCAGCCCCCTGCACGCAAGAGCCATCCATGGATATCCAAGGTATGCTGAGAAGGTGCTCAAGCCTGTGCACAGTCTCTTCTGCTCAATGCAACAACACAAAAATGCTCAGCAGCATTGCGCACACTGAAAAGGGAGGGCGAACCATGATGGATGCCACAGTTCTCAGGTAGGGCCTAGCTTCCTTGACCCCCTCCAGGCCCTGTCTGACGATTTTGGAAGTGACAATGAGCTTGTTGAGCACCTTAACTGTGTTGGGACCCAAAGACTGGCACCAGCACCCAGGTGTGAGACAACTACAGTGCAGTTTTGGAGTCAAGGATGATAGGTGGACTTGAGATACCTGGAGGTGCATCTGTGCGTTAGGCACAGTGTCCATAAGCCACTCAAGGCCCTTTTCAAGAGAGATCAGATTTGGGTCATCTTGGGTGTGCGCCAGGCCCTCCAGATGCACCACTGCAGTGTCAGATGGCTCCTTGATGCAAAGTAGCTCTTTGGGTCCTTCTCCAAAAACCTTGTTGCTGTCAGTCTTGTGCTTCTTAGTGGCCTGCTCACACTGTGCCTGTATACTTGCTAGCTCCTCCTCTATTTCTTTCTTCTGGCACAGCAGCTCCACCTCATGGCCTGTCTCAATTCCTTCATCACACTTGCACTTCAACGACACATCTTGCTTGGCTGTCTGCATGGCGAAGAGTAAAAGCAAACTGCAGCAAAATAATAATAATAATGGTTGTTGTGACACATACCCAATAATAATATCATGTTGCTTCTATCACTGGTGCTTTAATTCAGTGGTGTCTGTGTACGCAACTGAAGGCTGTGTGGTGTACAGAACACACTCCCAAAGCCCATGTGAGGACCCTGATTTAGGATGGCACCACACAATGAGCACCTTAACTTGGGGTTGTACAGTGGGGTGGTGGCAATGAGGAAGCAATAACTGAAAGAGAATGAGATGCCAACTGGCAAAACCCTGGCTACAAGGTCCCCCTCCTTGGTAAGGCATACCTGCAGAGCCACCCACCTGTGAACACCAACCAATCATGGTGAAGTTCACACTCAATGGTGTAACAGTGACATCAGGGAAATGGACACAGCAAGAGCTTGTTGGGCAAGAATTGGTGTCAGTCAAGTCACCCAAGAACTACCATGTTTTTGTCATCTATGTCAGCACAGAGACTGAGGAAGAGCTTCACAAGTGTGTAAAAGGATGAAACAGGTTCACACCACCATGCCAACAAGGTGAACAACAAGGAGTATACCTTCATGCTGGTCCTCACATGTGATCTGAAGGACCTCATGAAGATTCTTGGACTATACAGTATCAGGTACCATCCCATCATCACCACCTTGTCATCATACCCATGGGCTTAACAATTAGACTAATTGGTTGAGTACCCTTACACAACTGAAGTGGCCAGATTGCCTGTGCATCCTTGCAAGCCATGAGTCCTTCTTTGTGGCCCTGCATGAGCACACCAAGGGGGAAACCAAGGAGCACATTGAAAATGTGGAGAAGATGTGGGCTCATTACTACCCTCTTGCCTGTCTCACCAAGCATGAGTCAACATCAAGCCCAAGCAGTGGTGTGAAATGTCCAATTTGGCAAGGTGTGTTGTACCTTCACAGCAATCTTGAACGGTGCCCCTTGTGTGTGTGCTGGCCAGGCATTGTTCTTGGGTACTTGGGCAACAATGGGCTGTTGTCCAATAATTAATTAAGTGGCACTGGAGAATTATGTCTGGACTTCTGAGCTAAAAATGAAGTGAGTGTGGTAGCTGCATTACAAAGTGAAAGACGATGGACATTGAAGAGGAGGCTTATGGGAAGCATCCAACTGAGGACTCAGCACCAAGGTTCCAATGCTTCATCTATTATTATTTAGAAAAATTATTTTTACATTCACCTTAAAGCAGCTGGGCCACTTGTGATTGACCATTCTACTGGTGTGTACAGGAGGTACATCAGGCTTTCCCTTGTTCTCTTTACACCTTTCTCTGATCTAAAATGTCATTTGCGCCAGTCTCTTAGTGCGCCTCTGCCTGCTTTGCTTGCCTTGCCTGAGCTCTGCACAATTCATGTGCTAGGCATGCCACAACACTGTAACTGGGAAGGGAGGAAATGGTTGGTACTAATGCAGTGTGATCACAGGTCTCACCAAGTTGCAGGTGAAGCTCATCTGTGCTGAGTGTCAAGCTGAGGGCCAAGAATTCATGCTGTGTGGGCAGTGGAGCCTTTCTCTCAGAAGTGTCTTCTTGGTTGCCCAGTCTAGTGCACATGTGCAGAACAAGATGGTTCTTATGATGAACAACCTTTGTCAAGTGCCCTTGGACTATTGTTACAACCATGAACCATTGTGGTATCACCCAGAGCAGGTTTCCTGGGTGGAGTTTCTGATGGTTGTCAACCTGTCTTCCAGTGGGCTCACCACTTCAGCTGTGGTGGTGGTCCCCCTTGAAAACATGCCCCACCTGGGAACTCTGAACCTAAGTCACAATAGGCTGACGCACCTCATCAGCTTGGGCTCCCTTTGTTCCAAGAAGCTCAGGCACCTCAATCTGAGTGATAATTGTGTGCGGGACCTTGGGCAAGGGACATTCACTGCACTCAGTGCTTTGGAGGTCCTTGACCTGCATGGCAACTTCATCACCCATCTATCAACCAATTCACTACAAGGTAAGGCCAAGTTAGCCCAGGTGGGGACCCATGCTGGCTGACTTAACACCAACTCCAGGACTATCCAGCTTGCACACATTGGACCTCGCCCAGAATTCAATTGGTTGTGTTGATGTGTCCACTTGGCATGCGGATGCATGTGGGCTTACTGACCTGGACCTCTCTCTGAATCTGGTACAAACACTGACACTCTAACCTCATCCACTGGGAAATACTGAGCTGTGTGGTGCAGTTTCACATCAGAGGCCCTGTGGGAGCTGACTTGGCACCATTGACCAATCTTCAGTGCCTCCACTTGTGGTATGCTCATTGAATCCCTTTATTCTTCCTTCTCTCACCCTTGGTGGTAGTCCTCACTGGCCAGATCAGCAGCTGCCAAGTGTTTATAAATCCCTGCCAACTGGGCGATGTGCTTGCTCCACTTGTTCTAAATGGAGCCCCCAGACACACCAAAACCTAAAGTATGTTGTCCTCTTACCTGTTTCCTTGTGGGCAACCTGTTAACTGTGTATTCTACTGTCTCAGCCTGCAAGGAATTGCTCCCAACCATCTTCCTGATCAAGTGGTTGAGGAGTTAGTGGAGGATTTGGACATCTCATGCAATGGGTATGCAAGTTGTGTCCCTGGTTGTGTCTTGGTCTAACAATTTGTTCCCAGATGGACAAGTCTTGCGCAACTGAAATGATTTGCCAGCCTGAAGTCACTGAATGCAGCTAACAACAGCCTTTTCAAATGTGACATGCCTGAACAGGTGGGGCCCTACCAGTTCATTCTTTTTGTAAATGCCCATTTGAGCTGATGACATGTTGTGCAGGTTGGTTGCCACCTTACTGCACTTGACCTGCAAGGGAACAGGATTAACCATTTGACAAGACTCAATCTACCTTCCTTGCAGTCACTCAACCTGAGTGACACCAGGATATATGGGATCAACAACAACGCCTTTGCAAGCTTGTCTCAGCTCTCCTCACTGTTGCTTCATGACAACATGCTCAATGACTCCATGGCAAAGCAGTTCAGGAAGCTATTCACCAACTGCTCAGCCTTGAAGGAGCTCAACTTGTCTGGCAACGCCTTGTCATGGACACAGCAAAGGATGCTGGGCAAAGGACCAGCAAGATCACTCCAGACACTCCAACTTGCTAGCAACAGGCTGACCATCATCAAAGCTGGATTTGCTGAGGGTCTCTGTAAGCTGACAGAGCTGGACCTCAGCAAAAACGGCCTGCACACTCTGGACTTGCACTTTTTGCAAGGCATGGAGACAAGCCTCACCAGCTTGAATCTGGCCTCAAACATCCTCAACAAGGTGCTGTTGGGTACACACACCTCCTCCCCATGTCCTCAGTTGTATTGTTTATGTATCCTCACATTCCTGCCCAGCATGGAAAGACAACATGCCAGTGCTGGTGCAGCTCAACTTGAGCTGGAACTGTTTGGCCCACTTCCCATTCAGTTTCCTTGGCGTGGTACATCAGCCACTCACATGCTCCTCACACCACCCAAGCTCAGGCAATCTGTTTTTCTTTGCTTCCCCCAAGGGCCAAATGCACCTCCACATTCTGCACATGGAAGGCAACCAGATTTCCAACTCCAACATCACACAGGCCTTGACCCTCAGGCAGGGGCAAGAGAAGCTCAAGCTGGTGCACCAACCACAGTTCCTGGCCCATCACCAAAATGACATGCTGGCGATATGCAAAGATGGCAGCTTCAAAATCCTCAATGGCATTCCTCTACATGCCAACTATGAGGGCGACTACTTCCACCACCTCCACAAACAAGAGATGCAGTACCTGTTGGGCCTTGTCAAACTTCAGGTGCTGCACCTTCTTCTTTGGCGCTGTCCATGGTGGCTTTTACTCACAGACTTGCTTTTCCAGCACCACAAGCACACTGTCCTCAAGCGGATCAGAAGGGATGTGTGGCCACTTTGGAAATTCACAAGCACCATCAACCACCACTGGGATGTCTTACCACCCCAAACATATCACATCCTGTGCAGCACTCTTTTCCCTGACCAATCTTCCAGTACCTGCTTCCAACCCTTCAGCCTTGTTGCTGTCATCATCACCATCAGCCAGCTGTTATTGAAATTGACAGGTGGTACCACCAGGGAGGGCAGGTCCATTGTGGAAGCTGCTGAACACTGAGCTGGCCAGTGTCATGGGGATGGAGAATGTCAAGGAGAAGCTACATGACCTGTTGCACATGCTCATCATTCACCATGACCACCAAGATGCCAGGGCACCAGGTGAGAGAAGGATGCCATCAATGAAGCTGCACATGGAGCTAAGAGGCAATCCAGGAACAGGCAAAACAATGGTTGCTGGACTGCTGGCCAAGGTCTACCACTTCCTGGGGCTTGTCCATACATTCCCCCCTCACCAGCTTGAGCTCATTGAACCAGAATAGACCTAAGCTCTGGCAGTGCCATCCTGCTTCAGAGAGGGGAAAGGTCACCATGGTGCAGG